ATAGCAAAACCCAAAAGAATAAATTAATCTTTCCAACTTGAGTAAAGATGTGTATGTATACACATACATGCACATATACCCCTCTATAAAATCCGTTTTCAAATGACAGTATTTTTGAAGCGTTCTTAAAATATTAAATTTTTTTTATCAAAGATAAAAACTGTAACTGGCACAGTACTTTTGCTTTGTGTGGGAAAAGGTTAGGGAATCCTTTATTTGAAGATTATTTGCTGAACATATGGACTCTCCGCTGGACACGGCACTATATGCTACAGAAACATGAACATATTACAGTTCAGCTGACTCAAATACAACATAAGGGCCAGCAGGCAACATGAGGCTAAGGTACTGGATACCATATGGCTAGCTGTGTGGTTCGAGTCCTAGACTGGGCAGCTTGAAAATCATAGCCGAAATCCTAAGAGGAGATTGGAGAGAGGGGATTGCAGCCTAGCCATCCCATGTGGGATGATTGCTCACTCCCCCCCAATCTCTAAGTGCATGCACCCTATAGCAAAAAATAAAATAAATTAAAATAAAACTTAGTATACTAATAATCATTATTTCCTGTGGAATATAAAACAAAAGTTCATACCTGCAAAATAAAGGATAAGAGCATAAACACACAGTAGTGTTTTTTAAAAATAATTATTTATTTTATTTATTCATTCATTTATTTTTTAATTTGACCAAAGAGAGACAGAGGGTGAGAGTGAGAGAGAGAGAGAAAGTGAGAAAGCAAGCCACCAGATTCAGAACTTGAACCCTGGTCAGCCATGTGGGAGTGTCCAGCGCCTTAACCACCACACCACCTGCTGGTCCCACCAGTAGTGTTAATAAGAAAATGATATAGATGATTTCTCATCTAAAACGGTACCTGGTTTGAGGCAATCCGAAACTCGTCCCGACACCAACACGAGGGAGGTGGTTAACCACTTTCTTGACTGTTGCCGAGTCTGGGAAGTTGAACATGACAGCCACTACGACAAATAATTTTTAAAATTAGAATACAAGATGATTGCCTCTCTGGAAAATTGACTTCTGGATCCAATGAAATATTTACTCCTAATTCAGGTATCTATTGAATCTAATTCTTAGGACAGTCCCTGTAGTAGAGTGCCTATCAAATTTCAGCTCATATCTCAGGCATGACATTCATTTCACTTATTTATAAGCTCCTTTACCATCGCTGGTTTCTTCCCCAAAATACCCTCAGGAGTTTCGAACGACTGTCGTAGCTTTGTTTGTGACGTGAAGCAGAGATTGCCCACCTCCAACTTTGAATTTACACAACTGAATTTTAGCAATTCAAATATTCCTTTACATTTCCAGAAAGAACTAGTGAAATGTCTAAGGTAATATGGTTAACAAGAGTTAACACCGAAAAACCACAGATGCGGCCGTGAAATGATCAGTCATATTTACTTCCGACGAGAAACAGTTTAACATTCTCTTTACGATGTTTCTGTTTATACAGAATATGTTGATACACACCAGAACGATGAGTGAGAGGAAGGAAACTTTTTCCTCTATGGTTAATCAAGTGTAAATGTTTTCTGATCACTTCTATTCAATAATTACACATAGACAAAACATCTAGAAGCAGAGATCCATGTAGAAGACTATGTAATCACATAAATATTCATTTTTGAGTCAGCGTTACGTTTTTATCCATCTTAAAAAGACATGAAATTAAAATGATAAAATGAGAGAAAATTTAGAAGATAGCAATTTTATCACTCTTGAAATAATAACTACATATTAACTTCAATTCCAGACCCATGTGTCAGCTGCTATAAATGCTTACAGAGAAGGCGTGCGCACACACACACACACACATTTTTTCTCTCTCTAAATATATATATATATATATATATATATAAAACATACATATATATATATATATCTCAACATACACACACATATATATGAATTATATACAATAAATCCTTATCTATTCTGAAAAAAAAAAATGTTTAAGGCCCAAATTACCAGTGTTACCGCAGCTGTTAAACACTGGCATTAAACCAACACAATCCAGGTAAAGAAGTAACTGATTATTCCCTAGGCGCTAACAACATATTTAACAATGTCCTATATGTACACCTTTTACATAAACCTCCCTTCTATGTCCATGATGACATCGCTAACAGCGAACACAGACAGAAGAAAAAAAAAAAAAAAAAAAAAGGAAAGCAGGTGACCAAGGCCAAGAGGAAAAGGCAACAGAAAAACACACATAAAAAAGCAAGTATGCATTAGAAATTTCAGAGATGGGAAATGAATGAGGATGAG